TCTGATGCTACACTAAGCTCCTATACTCTACCCTTTGACTCAGCCCGAAGAAAATGGAAGTTGCAAGTCCAACAGGAGACAGAGGCTTTTTAAGAAAGGTCCTACTTTTCTCTCCACAAAACATCCCATCAACAAGAACTACAGCCCACTGGACCACAAAAAATGTAACTAGGAAACTTTGTGGTTTGCTTATCATATTGTACATAGCTTTGATAGGCATTGCTTGCATGGGTCCTACTTGCTCTGAATAAAATAGGCAGTGGATTGTCTATTCACACTGGAAAAGCTAATTCTAGAAAAAGAACAGTATTTCCAAAGAACAGTGGAAAGATCACTATGCTGAATCCTTATTGGAGCTTCCTCAGGACCCATTAATGAGATCCATAAGCAGATGTGTATGGTTGCTCTTATCTATGAAATGAGGAAACTATATGACAGAGCCTGGTCTTAAGCACCATTTGAACAGCAGGCTGAGCATGACTGATAGCAAACAGATCTAACTTTAATGCTTTCAGAAGCTGAATGTCTCTGTGCGACTCACAGCTTGGACAGCTCATCAGGGTCATCTAAAAATTTCATCTGCTAAGACATTCTGTAAACTGTTAGATGCAGCTATGTCGCAGATGGCAGTGCATGTACTCCACAACCAGATTTTGTAGAGGTGTCAGATGCCTTTTAGTCAAATACATTACAGAGATTTTGTTGCTTTGTGTTAGTTTGTCCCTGTGAGGATGACTTAGGCTGGCATTTACTTGTGGGATCAGTTTTCTGATGACTAACTAGATGAAATTTTAGCTACTCTGCCAGACTATGTTGCTAGAGAGGTGTTCAATATTCCCCTCTACCTCCACAGACCAAAGGAGGAGAGTGGTTTCCTGTAACTATTCAAATTTTAAATTCTAATTAATAGCTCAATGTTATTTTCTCCCTCCTCCCTCATTTTTTCACAAGGGAGATGCTACCAGACAACTGTTGCCGTCTTCTCCAGGGGTTCATATTTTTCATTCAGCTTGGATTGCATGACAGTGTGATGCCCCCTCCCACTCTCTCTTCTGTGCTCTTTACTTCCAAATTAAGGCAAAATACGCATGCTTTGTTTAACCAATCCTATTTAAAGTTATTTGTTCACAAGCTTTCACCTAGATACTTAATTTAGCTGGCCTAAGGATGTGAATTTATTACTTTAGTCATGAAGCTTAAGAAGGAACAGCAGTGGGGAGGACAGATCTCATCTCTCTTTTCCTGGGCATGCTCAACCAACTGGAGACTCAAGCATCCCTGATGTTAAACACTCCACTCCTGCTAAGCTCTTAACATGTTTTGTTTTAAATGAAGTTTCAAAGATCACTGAACAACATGTTGATTCTCTGTGCTTGTGAAAAAGGCCTTTGAGTGGATTATAAATGTGTAACACAAACATATGACAATATATTTTAGCACGTAATACAGAGAATGTTACTAAATCCTGTAACATGTTGCTAGCATTTTTAAACTTGGTAAGAAGAAAAAGATCCAGAATCATTCTTATAAATTTGACCAGGCTCAGTATTTGGCATCTCACCAGTTCTTTCTAAGCCTGAACTTACAAGATAGCAAGCTAAATTATATAATAGACTTATTCTAAAAGAACAACTGCTAATTATTAGTTTACCTCCAGAATGGACCTAAAATCTTGATTTATGTCTGAGTAAGTATCTACGTCACAACAGACACCATAACTTTTCATTCTGTTTTGACAGCATTACAACAGCAAATGACTGAATAAATGGTGGTTTCAGGCACTGTGTCTCCAGGCTGGAATTTGTTAACACCAAATAAAAAGCTTCCTATTGCCTTTGCACCTTCATTCCTTCATTATCTGTCTTGAGAATAAACCTCGGCATTCAGCATTCCAAACTTCTTTTTCAGCAAAACACTGTTAGAACCTTCCAAACAACAAATGTTATCATCTGCCTTATTTTTCCAGTCTTTCCCCACTCTCTTGTATGTTAGTTGTACACAGTGTCATCCTCAGTTCCCACCAGAGATTGCTGCACCATAACAGGAAATCATCAAATCCATCTATACCGTTACTCAGCTGAGTTGCATAATAGAGAGATATTTCCAGTTATCCTGGTAAAAGTATATTCTGAAAGAATGCAGACTAGGGCATGGCACATCTTCACAGTAATCTAAATTAGACACATTATTTTATGAACTAAATTTTTTGAAAGAAAATGTTGGGGTTTTTTTAATTTCTCAGGGAGCAGGAGGCGATTATTGGTATATCAAAATAGAAAACTTGAGAATAGGTAGTTCAACTTGGTCAGTAAATAATGCAAGTCCTCCTTTTCCAGTAAGTCAAGCAGGCTTATGTTTGATTTGAAAGCTATATGTATTCTTTCTTATTTGGGATCAAATTAAACATTTTTAAACGTTTAGCATTTATGAAATTGGATAAAACCCTTATTTTCTGGTAGGAAGGCAGTGTGGCTTGGGAAACAAACACAATACAGAAAATAATCAGAAAAAGGATTATTTTTTAAAATATTCCAGTGTCATGTACTTCAAAAAAAAAAACTTCTGCAAAAAGAGTGCATCAAATTTTGCTCCATGTCCCTAATTCTAAAGGCTAATAAGACCAGGAAGAGGTAAAAGAAGAGAGACTATTTTCATTACGCTTTGCCCAAAAATTTACAACCCCTACGGAAAAAAAAAAAAAAAAAAATTAAGGAAATACAACCTGGTTTCATTAGCAGATCCAGAAAGCAACCAACACAGTAAAAACTAGCATCATCTTTGACCTCAAGGAAGGATACTGTTTCAACTAAACAAGGGATACTACCTACTCAGGATCTGTTTCACAAAACCACTTGGCTGCTGCATAGAAGAACCTTAAACACTATGACTTCTGCTGTAAGTTTTTTAAGTATCAGCTGTTAATATATTGCTCTATGAAGATAAATGAAGCTTTCAGTTACCTAAACCTAACAGACAGTTTTAAAACCAGGTATCAATAATCAGAACTACATAGAACTTTCACCCTTTGAATAACATGCAACAACAGACAGTGATTGTTAAAAACCTATGCCTTCATACCTTACTTCAAGTTTCCAAGATCAAATATCTGGACAAGACTTCCATACTACAGTAAAGAGAACTTAGATAACAATACCATAATAACTGAAGTAAACAACCAACAATAAGAACAAAAACATAGGCTTCTCTTCAACACCACAAGCAGAAATTCCAAAATAAAATTTAGCATTGTTTAAATATGTAAAACGCTTTATTTTCATACATCAGCAAGAGATAAATCATGCATACTCTAGAAAGCTCAGGCTCTACCTTCATAAAATAGGAACACACTTCTCAACTAGGTGATTAAACACTGACCACCAGCTTTTGGAAGAAAAACAAATATTTGGAAGCTTATCCTAGATTCCTTACCTAGGCAATGAAAAGTTATCAGAATTAGCACTTTTCTCCCATATCTCACAGAAGAAAAACAGGCAATACCATTTCTAAGTATAGACACGTAAACAGCCATAGTTAAAAGGAAAAGAAGGAAAAAGATGGAATAAAAAAATTCTGACAATCCTTCTGTTTTGGGGAAGAGATAAATGGGTGAAAAAACCCAAATCAAATATTCTGGATTACTTTAGAACATCCTATCACAAGACATCAAAGCACTCCACTGAGATAAGGTTTCTCATAACACACATACCTGCATAAAAGTTGTATGATCAGAAATGCTTACGGAAGAGATTTTAACGAGGAACCGTTACAGAATACTCAGACTCAGTTCCTGATGCAAAAACTGCATTTACCTAAATGAATTCTGTATTTCATAGAGATTAGGCAGCAGAGAGTATAAACTTGTTGCAAACGATTCACCCTATTAAAAAAAAAAAAAAATCCAAAATGTTACCTAAGTGCACCTTATGCTGTTATCACACTCAACAGAACCAGCACTGTCACTGTGGAGTGGTCCCTTTATCAAGAAATTCTGCTTCTTTTAGAGGATACATGGTCAAACAAGAACACATATGTCTAAGTCCATGGATCAATGGTAGTAAAGAGGAAATTCTATCCTTTCAATATGTGCTCATCTCAAAGCCTTCTTAAAGAAGTTTCAGGTAAGACAACATCATGAAACTTGATTTGTTCTCATGAAACTTCCTTCAAGAACCAAGTTAACTTCTACCCAAGAGCATTTAAGAGACGTTTCAACCTTGCTGAAAACCTAATGAACATTCTCAAGATTCACTCTACTACGTTTACATAGATAATAAAGATCTACAGAAATTCTAGAATATAGAGAATATCTATGTTAGGGGGTTTTTTTTGTTAGAAGAACATTAGATAAAATTAGACCCCACAAAAATGCTCATTTGGAGAGTGTCTTCCTTTTAACAGAGATACCTCTTGATTATTTAAGATTCAGGGTTAGAACTGGGCAGTCAAACAGCTCACTTGCATACAGACAATTAAAAAACCACAATCACAAAATAACCATCCCTCCAAAACCCAACAAATCCAACAGGAGAATATATCTCAAAGAATATAACTCACTGGCAGTTGGCTGACTTTGCAACACTTTCAGTGGTGTAGCAAATATACTGGTTCTGCCAAATGTTCACAGTTACCTGAGCCAGTGCTCGTAAGTAAAAGCTTATCCGTACAATAAACACAGGCAACACCCTCCCTTGAGCTGTCACATGAGCCATACAATTACAGTCCAGTTTGTATTTCGGTATAACTTAAACACTGAAATCCAAGAAATTATGTTAAGGAGATAAACCACACTTATCCGCCTTCTGCTCCTCCTGCTTTTTACTTTTTGTTGTTTTGTAGTCAGCATCTGTACATTTTTTCTCAACTTTATCTGCTGTGGTGAAACACAGGTTTTAAATTCCAGCCACAATAATTTATCATTTTTAAATTTAAAAAACTAAAAGTCTGGTATGATGAGATTCAGACACTGCACATTTTTATAATCAAATTAATAAATGCTATACCTCCAAGTTCTTTTACGTTCAGGATGGCATTCTGGAATGGCACTGCTTTTATACTAAAACCTAAGAACAGAAATAAAGAGTATTAGTATGTTATTTTTTAAAAAGGCCATTCAAAAATTTTAAATCAATTGCATACATTCAGAAAAGACTGCTTTTTTCATCAAGAACCAGAATTTTGAATGTGAAATTCTGTTTCAATATGATGTTTAAAAATATCATTTATTGGGGAGGGGGGAGGTGAGGAAATAAATCAGTATGAGTAATGAAATTTGCAATGATACTATTAAATATCTGGCACACACAAAATTCAGAACAAAACTTCCATCCAGGCCATCTACCAGCTCGTAAGGAATTAGTAAGGAATATACCTTTATAAAATAATCTAATGCATCTGGAACTAAAGTTTATATTTCAGACTAGTGTAATATGAAGTGATGTTTTTGCAAATTTTAGGAGTGATGGAAGACAAGGTACAACTCAAGTCACTGTCTTCTTACTTCACAGGTTTTGGTTATACCTAGAGTATTTATCCCATCTATACATGTTATTAACAGAAAGATTCTTTTACAGACATTAGTGGTATGTATTAAAATTATCAGAAGCACACTAGAAGCATCTGTGAATCTTCTAATAGCCTGTTATATGATTAAAACTAAAAAGTGTTATGTTTTCCCTTAACTGAAAATTCAGAGAGCCAAGAGAAAGGGAATTTGAAAGAATCCCAGCAATCCACCACTATACTATATACTAAATTCAGCATGTTTAGTGCATACTTACATACAAGTGTATATAATACTTTGTATCGGAGAAATTATGTCTGACCTTTCAGCATAAAATGTCCAGATAGAAATTAAATTTATTTCCATCTAGCACAGGCATTTTCAACATGGTTACATATCTGTGAACTGAGTAAATAAGTTTTAAAAAAACGTGTTTCACTCCAAGTTTATTAGCTATCATTAAACAGAAACAAGATATTTTTTCTCCCCTATCAGACCAATATGATACTCCAGTACTCCAACCATGGTCAGTGCTAAATGCAGTAGAGGAAAGTACAAGAAAATCTGAAGGGAATAATGAAATATTTTTGTTGTTGTTGTCTAAAAACAAATCTTAAACTCTTCCTAGAAATGAGAAAGAACTGGAACGGACCTCAGTGGCATTGATGAGAAAAGCAAAAATACAGATTATAGTTTGAAAACTGAGTGGACTAGTTGTCACATTGTATTCTTGGATTCTCAACAATATTTTCTGATATAGCACAGATATGGTAGATATGGGTAGATTAGACAAGCTGAATACCCTAGATATGCATCATTTTGGTTTGGATGCTGCCTATTTTTTCTCCAGAGTCCATTTTCATTCCTCAAGTTGCCTAACTAAATAATGGTATTTTGTTGCAGAAATATGTAAGAAATTTAATTTTAAATTAATCATATTTTCATTATTTCCTTTGATAGATCTATACTGCTATTTACACTGCTGTTACTATTTCTTTCAGGGTCTAAAGTGTTAAAGTATAATTTGTACTAATTCCAGGTGAACTCTAAAGATAAAACTCAGGAGAGGGGAAAAAAAAAAAAAAAGGCAGAATTACTCTACAATTTCATTCTCACTTTTTGAATTAGGCATTGACACCTTCTCCACACAATGAAGTGTCAGATCTCTTTAACATTCCCAATAACAGCACTGTGAAGGCAATGGGTTAATTATCCATAGCAGAAGAAACCCGGTATCTTCTTGCATCTGTTTTACTTTGTTTAATTACAGTTGTATTAAATAACCTTATGTTCTTGTAATTAAAACAAAGATACACTGAAAACCAGTTAGGGTTGCTAAGGGACAATCAAAATTCAGGCCCATGAGTCACAACAGCTACAATATATAGCCATGTAACTATAAACGTAAGTTACTCACACAACACTCACTATCTGTTCCCTCAGCAAATCAAACTTCGCAAATTGCTATGGCCACAGAACCAGATTACTTCCCTCTCTATGACCTAATCTGTCCTATTTCTGAACTTTGCAGTCAGTTATTCATCCTCCTCACTTCACATGTTTGTTTCTTTTTTATTTCTGGTGCTGTTTTGTTTTTTGGGGTTTTTTTGTCTTTTTTAATCAAAATACCCTTTTCAGCATTTGACATTCTGTTTCATCCACATCAGCATTCATATCCAAATTTTCTGGACTTAAGATACCTGCTAGCTGTCGTTTTTGTGTCTGTTTTTCTGTATCTTTTCCATGCCACTTAAACTTTCTGTAAACTCAACCTGATCTCAAACTGCCCTTATTACATAATAAACAAGCCTCTCTAATGACCTAAAAAGAAAGTATTATCACCAGAAATAAAGATGCCCGTTACATTTATTCTTTTGGCTGCTAGCATATACCACAAGACAGTACCAACCAAGTATGAGACAAAATAAATCCCAACTTAAGTTTCAGAGCATCACTCTATTTTATAGCACATTCTCCTCTTTTCTGTCCATATAACAAGAATGCTTAAAAACCAAAAGTAAAAAGAGAAGAAGCCTTTTAATGTGTGTCTATGCTACACTGCTACTGTATGTTTCCAATGGTTCTACTCATTACACCACAGTTTGACTTTAAACACATTCCAAATTGTATGTTGTCATGGATGTTCCCCAATGTATGACCAAACACTGAAAGAGTAAGTAGTGGTAGCTTCAAAGCAATCCATCAGGTACTTTCGATAACTAAACTGAAGTTCTCTACCACCTTTGCTAAAGGTGTTTCAAAAGATACATTTGGGGAGTGTTACAGAACACCATGGAATAAAGGCAGCATCCTACCTGTGGTAGACACTATATTTTCCGGGCTTTCACTGCAAAGGCGTGACAGAAGACTTGTCTTCCCAGACCCAGTGAGACCAATGCAAACCAAGTCATATTCAGGTCGTGGTGGTGGCGGTCCCTTGCAGCAAAGTGCTCTAAAACACTGCCACGGTAGAAGAAAACAAACAGAACAAAAACAAAACCAAAAAAGCTATTACTTTTTTTGCAAATGTTTATTCAACAAGGTTCTAAAAATCAAGTTTATAAATTTAAAGGCATTGGAGAGAAGCAAATTATTATTCCAACTTACTGTTTTGACAGAATCAGCAATTAATAGACTGAGATCACTTCAACTAAAATCTAGAACAGCTTTATAAGAAAACTTTGTTACCTTTCCACCTAAACCTTCACTTCCTGAACATTGCACGTACAGCAAGATAGACACGTGCCCGACTCAACTGTGCAGCTGGGTATGCATGAGTTTGCTTCTTCTGCTAATTTCATGAAATACCTGGTATGAACATCAGAGCAGCCCCTGAGCAGCTGCCTGCCAGACTCTCCCTGTTGCCATAGGAAAGAATCAGACAACTTTGCTGCATTGATGTCTTCCCTGACCTTGCTTTGTCATATGTTTCAGCTTACAGTATCAGCTGTTTAAGAGTACAGCTTGTAAAGAAATAAATTTTGCCAGACATAGCTCGAGTCAAAAATATGCAGATCTCTCACATTCTCTGGAGAAATATAAATTAATCACAATATAAAGAATAAAAATCTCTCGCACAAAGCCTAGAGTTATCCTAACATCTCTTTTTAAGCAGTATTGCCAAAGTAGGCCGAGATCATCCAAAAGTTCTTTTAAGCCCTTAGTAAGGTTCATCAGACCTTTCTTTATTTGTAATATAGAAAAGTTCTATGTAAAAATCTAAAAACATACCATTCTAGGGAAGCTAGAAGTTTATATTTAAGATATGGGGTATAATTACCCACTAACGTCCAAGACAGACCTCCACCACCCCAGTATATATAAACACCTTTTTCCCCAACATCTGCCACCTTCATATCAGAGGAATACATCTGCTATAACAAGGAAGGGAAAATGTGTTTGTGCAATCACTCCTCTATCACACATTCTGTCTTTACATAGTTCCAGCTCCTTTTTTCCATCTTAAGCACAAGCCAGTCACTGCATTAGGTAAAAAACCCTAGTCTTTACAACCTTAACCTAGTTTGTCTACAAAACTACACAGGATCTCTCATTGAGGGCTACTAGAGGAGCAGAGAAACTGAACAGATGTCAGTAAGGCACTGTTGAAAATAACAGGATCTAGCTCTGTAAACAAGTCATCAAAAGAGAATGTAATTATAAAAAGACAGCTCAATGAATGCAGAACTTCTGTTGAATTCTTTCCATATACATGGTAAGTTATTATACATGCTGGGGAAACAATTTGCATTTGTTTAAAGAAGCTAAAGAGAAGTTCGGGGAAAGTTACTAAATTCCTTCAAAAAACTTTTAAAAATGTGAAATATTTTAGGAGTAAAAACATTTACAGTTATAGTGAAGCTGAACAAAGGCAACAGATTTTAAAAATAAAAGTCTTGCCTCTACTAAAATTTGACTAAAAATTATTTTTTTCAATAAGGTTTGCCCTTACATGTGTGTCCACTGCTAAACAGAGTAAACATGCCTTCTATCTTTATTCACTGACGTCAGTTTACACTTATCTTACAGATTTTACAAAGTCTCAGCAAATTCTACTCTGGTACTTAAGTGAGAAAGGCCAATTGAGTTCATTGCACAACATAAGCTCCTTCAAACAATTTCCACTTAATGGATATCAGGTTGAAGGCCACATAAAATTCTTCGAAGCTTGACAGAGCTCCGGAGGCTCTATGTCAGGCCCTTTGCAGCCAGTCTTTAAAAAATAATCAAATTTGTCCCTGTCAACACAGCATCTTTGCGTCAACTTCTTGATGTCATATTAAAAAATATAATGGAATAGGTGAGCTGATGAAAGTCTGTGCTTCTCTCTGCCCAGACATCGTGCCAGTTCTTATGCAACCAGACACAACTCTCATGGCCCTGACGATGCTTAATAACCTGCAGTTCTGTCAAGAATAATTATTGCTTGTTGTAGAACACAGGCGGCTCTCTGGGTGACAGAGGGGCTCCACTGACTGGTTCTGAGGAGTTCAGTATCTCCTTAGTGCAGACTCCTTACGTCTAACTTATATTAGAGAATCTTGATGAGCCGTTGATTAAACATATGATCACAAATCCAGGTGAAATTGCATGTCCAAAGCAGCATACATAGACCTGCCATTCACTCATCATTCACCAGTAAGCATAGTTAGGTATGAAACTTCCTGAGATACAGCTGACACAGAACCCTAGAAGACAGGGATATGGCTCTCTCCAGACGACTCTCGTATTTCATTTGGTATGGTTCCCCCCAGCTTTGTTATATTAATGACTTTGTCCTTCTGCAAGGCTAATTTCCTTCAGTAGACATTTTTGTTTGGTTGGAGTGAAAACAGACTTTAAGTATTCTAGCTTTGAAAAGCTGCTGTGTATAGCAGTTACCGCTGGCTAACATAAGAAATTCTACATCACCTTTTAGGGGTTACTTGTAATACTATATTTAAATTTTAGAAACTTGCTTCACAATCCTCCTTAAGCAAGTTCAGTGAGCTTCTCTTCCACTGGAAATACCACTATACAAACAGTCTGATGACTGCCTTCCGGTTCTCTCAGCAGCTTGAAGTTACTTGGTCCCTAACAAAGTCAAGTATCCATGATAGTGACTAAATTTCTATTGTCACGACTTTGGCAGCTACATCTAGTAGCTGTACAAGATCTGTGGAGAGCAGAAAATTCAGAGGTCCTGGCCATGCAAATAAAATTACATCCTATATTCTGCTTTTGATTATGGACAGGAAATGCATCCTGAAGTATTTTATAAAGCATGGAGTAGAGCCACACCATTATTTAAGATGATTTCACGTATTACAGTGCAGTCTCAAACGCAGGGAACTACAAGAAATGTGTATTAGTAACTGAAAAAGCCATTCCTGAAATCCAAAACACAAATGTCAAGAAAATTGAGTTGTTCAATTACTAGCACTCAGTCTAAAACTGGCGTACTTTCCACTCCATTTGGGCAACCCAAAGGGCGTAAGAAAAACTTGAACTAATAGTCTGACTGGTCTTGAAACACTTGTCAGGTAGAGACCTGGAAGTCTCTTTCATTGATTCCCAAACCTCATTTGCTTGATGAGTGACTGTCCAATAAAACGCTGCATTTTAGGTATTATAAAACTCCAAACCTAAATGAGGCCACTTTGAGGTAATGTTGGAGAGGACAGAAACAGAACATTTGACTACTGCAAATATAAGGCTAAGTAGAGTTAGCTGGCATAGTCACTGAAATATTGTTCAGGGTGTGGTCACGCATTTCAGCCTCACTGCTAGCAAAAAAAGAGGAACATTTTTTGGAGCCCTTTCATCCTATCAGGGTAAGACCTTACTTGCTTTAAAGCAAGTGGACATGTCAAACAAAGTGTCAGTTTTCATATTCTTTGAGAACATCACACTCAAAACATTTTATAGCCATTGCATGGGGAGAAGAAGCAGTCAAAGAGAGGCAGGTAGGGAGAATCAGAAGGTTTTTTGGTTTGTTTTTTTTTTTTTTTTTTTTTTTTTTGTTGTTGTTGTTATTGTTGTTGGGTTTTTTGGTTGGTTGTTTTGTTTTGTTTTTTTAAATGAAGATTGTAAAGTACCAAAAATAAAACAATAGAGTACCTTGAAAAAAATGCATGCATTTAGCCTGTTTTGGGAAAAATGATGTATTTATCTAGGAAACTCTGAGTAATTAGGTAATGCAGTCTGAAGAAAACTGCAATATTCAACACCATTGCTACTTTCATTTTACTTGCATGTGCACATGCATGCTCTATGTGCATGTGTAATCATACACAATAGCTAATGGAAGAAGTTAGCCGCTCCTACTCCTGCCTAGGAATGTCTATCCCAACCAGATGCTTCCAGTTTTAGGTGCATCAGTATTTGAGCTGACAGTCCTAGACAGTGTCCCTTTAAAACACTACAGAGATTTCTCCTGAGAAAAGCATTAAATACTGTGTCTACAGTAAGGGTGGCCAACACTTCTGAAACATGTGCCACTCAGAGATCACAGATTGAAGCTCTGGGCAGCAAACATCCCTAAATTACTACTCTCTCCAACACATTACACTGTCTCTAGCCATTAAGCCTGTCTTTGCCTACTCACCATACTTCTCATTTCACTCTCCTTTTTGGGGTGAAATACTCCATTATTTCTGCTTTGTTCTGAACCCATCTCCTGTCTGTTTCTTTTGTTGCCACTGTTTAATAGGAACAAACAGAAGCAAGGGATTTCATGCTTAGTTGGTTAAACACACACACACTCATGCAAAAATACCCTAAGTTAGTACAACATTAATGCCAACAAAGCAAGCATTCAGAGCTCTTGAAATCCAGAATTAAGGATGAAAGCTCAACCATAACTCTGCTCCCTTCCCCCTCTTGCTTATACTTTTTGATATGGTCTCCCTTTACATTTTATTTTTCAATTAAAGTATATCTGAACAGACAGACTTCTAGTAACCACCACACATTTAAATCCAGAGGACTAGTTAATCATCTGAAGCTGCTGATGAAAACACGATGAGATTATTAAAAAAAGTCATATTTAAACACAGCAGGCTCCATAGCTGTGATGTTGTATGAGATCACACAAGTGCAAAGAAATCTCAAACCTTGAACAGACAATGTGAAAGGTGAGGGAAAAAAAACAAGTTAGAAGGTTATAATACTGAGGATAGGAAACACCTAGAGACAGCAGTGGAGTAACTGAACACAAATATTACAATACTCAAGGCACCTGAACGAAATTATACACAGGTAAGAGAAAGGGGGGAAAAGGGATATATAAAAACCTAAATTTTAGCTGTATGAATACCTTAATGTTAAACTGGTGCAATAAAATTGATGCATTTAACCATGTGAGCTAAAGCTGCAGACCTATGTTTCCAATACTGCTGCACAGGTAGTTTAACCACTACAAAAAAAAAAAAAGCGAGGAAGAGGAAAAAACTACCAATTTTAAGATGCACACTGCTTTC